AATTTTGTTAACATGAAGCCAAAATTCAGACAACCTCACTTCCAAAAGCTCATCTTTGAGGGTCCTAGGACACAACAGCTGCTCCTTTTGCACAAAGACAACTTTGTGACTTCAGTTGCAAACAGGTTTTATGTCCACTCAAACTACTATTTCTTCAACAGAAATGCTGTCGGCAAATTTTGACTACACAAACTCCAAATTACCCTGGCCTAAACTATTAACTAACCCTGGCAGCAGACCCATTGACAGTTTGCCACAAGGTGCTCGCTCACACAGGGTTGTTTTGAGTGATTATTACAGTTTGCCTCTGTTGCACAGTCACTCAAAAGAACACTCTGTACAAGCTCCTTGTGACAAACTGTCACTGGATTTCGCATCAGCTGCCACACAGCGGTCCCAATTGTTAAAATGTAAAGACTCAAGCCTTTCTGACGTTTGGTTACAAGTGACATCAACACAGCGTTTTAACATGCCAACAAAAGCTGCAGGAGAGTTCATCATACCAATGAAGAATTAAAAGCAATAATTATTTTGAGTTTACTTATATAGCCCACACCCCACTTGTGGCCCACCAGTTGCTATTGGCTATCAGCTAATCAGTGGCAGGATGACATCACAGTATTATGTAGCCAATCACTGAGGACAAGTGATGCTGGAAATGACTATGAAAAATAGAGTACATCTAGGTCACCTCTAATCATGCCTTTATTATAATAATTGTATAGCTTGCAGCTTTTCCATCTCAGTGTACAGTATAAGAATTTAGAACATTTGTGATACACACACACACACACAAGCCTCAATGCCACTTCACAGCTTAGAAAAACGTAACTGGAGCTTATCGGTACTTTCATACTAGTAAGGAATAAAAAGGTAGCCAGAGGGAACATATTTCTGGAGCACACAGAAGAGCCTCTTGAGGAAGCAGCGATTCAGGCCAAAGGTAGTTTGCCAACATTAGAAAAGGCAACAAGTTTTCTAAAGTTTTCTGTGCTCCAGTTCTTTTCCTGCTGTCAAAAGTTTTACACGTCTTGTTCTTCCTACAATGAAAATCTAGGTCTCTTATGCAGTTTGGAATACCGCAAACTCAGCATTAGAATATAAAAGTAAATTTAACAAAGGTATTCATAAAAACATCACTGAAAACATCATTAAGTATTGATTATATTAAAAAGAAAAGTCATGTTGCAGAGGCCTGTCCAAAAGGACCCTCCATCATCCTTGAAAATAAAATAGCACTGTATCACAACACCCTCTTCCCGCCTAGTGGTGCACATGCCTTTCATACTAAAGCTTAGAGGGCAATGGGGGACTAGAGGTCACATGTTCCCACCAAACCCAATCCATTGCCCACTCAACAACAATGACCCTTTCTTCTATTCTTTTGCCATCTAAGGGATTAGGAGTGAAATTGAGCTTGGAAGAAGTGCGCCCTCAGATATCAATTCTTACTCCACCCAATTCTTCACAGTTTCCTAGTTGCAAAATTTAGGCAGTTTCACTTTCTTTTATTAGCACAGACATTGGACGCCCCATTTATAACCTCGCATTTAATATAGTATACAGACAATGCACAAGCTCAGACTTTGGCAGACCTGCAGAGAGAGGTGCCTGAGATCCAGAAGAGAAGACACTGAAAGTTAAGTCCTTAAAGTGAAGATTTTCTCAATCCTGTATTTGACAAACACTGCACACAGCAGCTCTGAATAAAGATATGTAGGAGGCTTCCTAGCAATGCAGCTAAACCTATATGGATGGTTGCCAGCAAAAGCAACACAAAGAACCTTTAAACAGCCACTGAACAAGTTTGCTGCAAAAACAATATGAAACTCAGCCTGCCTATTTCCAAGAAGCCCTATTTTTATGTTTAAAGAAAGATAATACAAGACAAAACACATTTGGAAACCTAAGATTTTTGAACTCTGCCTAGACCACTCTTAAATTCTAACTCAAATACATTTAAAGATATAACAACAACTTGGAACATATCTACTTATCTCTCAAGCGGAAAGGGCAAAAAGAGATTAACCTGAATTCCAGGCTTTCACCCAACTTGTAGGAAATAGCATGTTTAAAAAAGCATTTTCTACATATACTGTGAAACCTGCCAGATACAAAAGAAAACCCCATTCACAGCTTAAGTTAAAATTCACAAATATTCACTTCACTTCCCCCAGACTGTACGTTAACATGTGTTTACAATAATTAACACAACACCTTCAACGAGCACATTTGGAGTAAAAAAAGACCACTCCAGTACTGCAAGCTGATTTTAGCTTTGGAGGTATATTGTTTCACACAAAGCTAAAGGCAGCAGACAAACAATGTATGGCTTTTACAAACAAAGCTAGTTAGGTAAATATACAAAGAGAGACTCCAGGGAAAGATGTGACTTGAGAAACTACTATAAACAGCTGCTAAGGATACTAAAGCAAGTAACACCTTTTATGATGCTATTTTAGGAAAGAAGCATTACTGTTCTACGTCTGCTCTTTCTTCCCTCTTTTCTCCGTATTTAAATCCAGCTCCTACTTCCCTTCCTGGGTGAAAAAATCAGCCGTTCCAAACACAGAACAGGCCCTCCATTTTTCCTGCCTAAACCACCCAAAAGAATATTCCCTCAATTGTGCTACATTATTATAACTCCTTTCATCACTGATTCAAATAAAGACAATAGAGAAGAGGAAGACAGGTGGCTCTTTGGCACCAAGAGGGCAGGACTGAACTAGTCTAGTAGTCACTTACAGGAGACCAAGTTACCCACCAGGAAATTCACAGCACAGAGGTACTAGTTTCAGTTCTGCAGGATCATCACCCCCTTTAGGTGTAAGTGAATTGTAAACACAGACTTGAGGCTGCCCTTAAAACTGTTTAACTGCAACCTAAGAAGGAAGATGTACCGAACCAAGACAGTTTCATGCTTAGTTCAATACTTAGCAATACTCCTCAAACTTCCCATGATCCCCTGAATCCCAGAGCTCACTGCAGTCAGACCTGAAATAGCAAGTGACTCTTTTGGAACGCTCAACACTTTTTGAAGAAAATGGGTCACTATTGTTGCTGCAATTTCTTTCACAAACAGCAGCAACATAAGACAGAATTATTAGTGTGGGTTTTTTTAAGTATGCAATTCCAAGAACGCAACCCTGCCCCAGCTTCCATTTCCTCACAAGCCCAAACAGAGGAGAGAGACAACGCAGGGAAGGCATAAGGGCAACAAGCAGAGGGATGACTATTCACAGGTCTTGTCCTCAAGTAACCTCCTCTAGCTCCTTAGGTGGTGCCATTGGCTTATAGAGACCCTTCAGGTATCAATGATTTCTTAAAAGGGGGGCATAATTGAAGCTGACCCTAACATACCCTGTTAGGTTGTTTGAGGGAGGAAGCAGCGATGGAAAAAATCCCCTTTCAGAGGGTCATACCAAAGACCCTCACATGCACCTACAGGGTGATACAATCAGATCAGGCGGAAGAGTTGAGACCAAACACACTGCAAGCAGATGGGGGGGGGGCGGAGAGAGAGAGAAACTCAAGTATCAGGAGACCCTGTTCTAGGAAGCCAGGGTGGGAGACAGGTTGGCAACTGTTCCTACTGGGAAAGCAGCCAACGCTGGTCCAAGTGCAGAAAGGCACCAAACCCAGGGAAAGGGATCACCAACCTCCCAAAATAAAACTGGAGGGGGTTGTGGCGGCGAAGAGAGGAGGCAGGCTGGCTGGCTTTGCTCCCTGGCATAGCAGGGATACTGAAAGGCAGAAGCTGTCCCAGGGCCTGGTACCCATCATTTCGCCTTTATCCTGGGGAATGGGGGCTGGGCATTTTCCCTGAGCTTTTCCTTTCCTCTCCACAGTGAGAGTTCCTGCTGCCACGCTCCCCCTCCTTCTCCATTGCCAACATGACGGTGCACTGGGGTGGGGCAGTCTGCGAACTTCTCTTGCCCCCTGGGGAGAAAACAAAAGGTTCCTGGGGCTGGAGGAGAGAAGGGCATGAGAGCTTCCTGTAGGGTGGGGTCCCCACCACCACCTCAAAACGGAGCAAATAAGTCGTGAAAAGATGGGGGGGGGCTAGAGCAAGAGAGAGAGAAACAGCTCAGCAACTTTCCAGGAGTTTTTAAGCTTTATTTGTCCCGACCTCTGCCTCCATTGGGGGCGTGTGTGTTACGGGGGGGGGCGGGGAGAGAGGGACCCCCCCCCAGGGCCCACGCGCCAGCTTCCCCCTCGCCACACACCCACTTCCCCCTCCAAAAACCACGAGAGGCGTTTCGGGAAGCCCGCGCGTGGCCGACACGGGAGGGAAACTCCAGCAGCAGCCCCCCCCCACCGCCCGCCTTCCCCTCACGACAGGAGTGGGGGCACCCTTCTCCCTCAGCCCCCCCCTCCCCATGGACGGTATTCACACGCACTCCCAGGCGGTGGGGGGCCATTTTCCCTCTCACGTTTTCCCTTCAGGGGGGAGTGAGGGCCCCACCGCCCTTGCGAGTTAAAAGGGGGTGAGGGAACCTTCTAGGCCGCCCCCCTCCTCCTTTAAGCGGAGCTCGGGGGGGGGGAGTCCGTCGTCGTCTCCGGTCTCCCCCCACCCCCCCCATTGGTGGCCCCTGAGGGGAGGCTGAGAGGCTGCGCGCGCCTTTCTCTCCCTCCCCCCCCCCACGGACTAATATATTAGCCCCCCCCCGGTCTGTCCGTCTTTCTTTCTTTCCCCCGTGAAGGGAGGGGAGCCCGCCGAATCCGCCTCTCCCCGCCCGCGGTCGCGCGCTCGTTACCTGCCAATGTGCTCACAAAGCGGCAGCGGCGGCGGCGGCGGCGGCGCCCACCACTGTCACGTGACTCCTCGCCTCTGCCCTCCCCTCGCCTCGCCCCCGCGTTCCCGCGCGCGCTCTCGCTCTCTCTCTGTCTCTCCCTTGCGGCCTGCGCAGCCCCGCCCTCACCACGTGACGCGGCTGCAGGCGCGCGCGCGCTCCCGCCGAACCCCCCCCGCGCGTGCGCAGTACGGCGGGCGGCAGCCCTACGCCACTTCCCCTCCTCACGCACGCATGCACGCACACCGCCGTCTCCCGCCCTCCCGGCCAATCACGCCGGCTCATTCCCTCCCACGTGATCCCAGAGAGCTAGAGAGAGAGAGAGAAAGGCTCTCGAAAGAAGCTTCTTTTCTGCTGCCGCTCTCCTGCCCCCACGTGACTCTTACCTCCGGAGGAGATGGAGGAGGAGCCGGGCTACGTCCGCTCGCACGTGACCTCCAGCGGCACTTCAATTACGGTTAGAAGGAGAAGGAGAGAGAGAGAGTGTGCGCGTGTGGCGTAGTCGCTGAGGGCCTCATACGTCACCATGAGTGGGCGCGGCCTGGGAGGGGGCGTGTCGGAGATGGAAGGGTGACGTTGTCGCCCCGCCGTGGGTTATGGAATGCTTAAAGTCCTTAAAGAGGCAAGCAGCGAAGTTTGTTGCTGTTCCATATTATAATATATTAATATATATTTATATATTTATATTTATTTATATTTAATATAATATATATATATATAATATTAAAGTATTATATATATATTTCTTTTTCCTTTTTCCTTTCTCCTGTGATGAGGCTGCATTTTAATATTTTAATGTTTCAATATTTTAATGTTGTATTTTAAACTTGTTTTTAAGTTGTATTCATCCAACTTGTTTTTATTATTGCTTGTTAGCTGCCCTGAGCCCAGCCTTGGCTGGGGAGGGCGGGGTATAAATAAAAATTATTATTAAAGCTACCCCTGCCCGTACGGGCCAGTCTTGCCAGACTCTTAGGGTTGTGCGCCCATCTCACTCAAGAGGCCGGGGGCCAGCGCTGTGCGGAGACACTTCCGGGTCACGTGGCCAGCGTGACATCGCTGCTCTGGCGAGCCAGCGCAGCACACGGAACGCCATTTACCTTCCCGCTAGTAAGCGGTCCCTATTTATCTACTTGCACCCGGGGGTGCTTTCGAACTGCTAGGTTGGCAGGCGCTGGGACCGAGCAACGGGAGCGCACCCCGCCGCGGGGATTCGAACCGCCAACCTTTCAATCGGCAAGCCCTAGGCGCTGAGGCTTTTACCCACAGCGCCACCCGCGTCCCTAAAAAAAATATATTATTATATTATATGCTTTATGCAATATGAACTTGTTATATAAATGTAGGCTAATATAAACATATAATATAAGGTAACATAAAGCAGTCCTTAGTTGTTTTGATCTTTTTATTGACTGAGTAACAGCTAAGTAAAGGTACCCCTGCCCGTACGGGCCAGTCGTGTCCAACTCTAGGGTTGTGCGCCCATCTCACTCAAGAGGCCGGGAGCCAGCGCTGTCCGGAGACACTTCCGGGTCACGTGGCCAGCGTGACGAAGCTGCTCTGGCGAGCCAGCACCAGCGCAGCACACCTTCCACATGTGCAGTGTTCAGGGGCTGCCCCACCACACCCTCCAGAGCCAATTTAAGGGGGCGCTGAGTGAGTAGAGAGGAGGAAACCCCATTGCACTAGCAGAAGTCCTTGCGTTGCACTTCCGCAGATGGGTTTAGTTAAGTGAGGCCCGGCCTTTCTGCTTTCAAAGCACATACACGCTCCATTACCAAGCTATGGATCTTGTGGCTCTTTACTCTGTACACACCATGGCAAGCCCTGTTCTTTTGCTGCGTGATGTGCGAAAGAGACCCAAGCTAATCGAGATGCAGGCCTAAACGCGCTGTGCTTTGCTCGTTTGCATTCTCTGTACCAGGGAGGGGGAATAATTGCAGGTCTCAGAGCCGTTTTGCCACGCTTTGCCACAAACAAGTGCCTGTGCTCTCTTAATCTGTGCAGTGCTAATGACTATTATTAGCATCTTCTAATCGTGACTTGGCATCCCCCTTCTAATGAAGATGGCTTGTTGGCAACCAGCACCCAGCAACAAAGATAGAAGCTGAAGAGGAGAGTGCTTCATCACGCTGGTGGGAGCTGCGGTTGGGGGTCACTTGTCCATGTCGCAGCATCACAACCTCCTGGAAAAGGTGAATCAGGGCTGCCACTTTCCAGGACAAAGGCCCTATAGCTCCTTGATTCCCTAAGAACTTTGGAGCAGAGAAGAATTCTGCACAGGCCAAATTTTGTGCAAGACTTCTACAAAAGACAGGTGGCCAGTTTATGCTAAAAGTTGAGTCACGTATGGGTGATGTAACAGCAAACTGGCAGCATATCAATTATTTTATTCCTTTTTTTTGAGGGGTGCCATTTACTTTTAAAAACAATAATTAGACAGCCCTGTGAATTTTAATTATTAGGGGCCATGAAACTGATTTTGGGTGTGCTCCAGGTATTGGAAGGAAGAGTGCAGTCTTAACAAAAGTCATTTTTTAAATTGTTTGACATAGCAAATGTGATGCATAGATTTGTATATGCATATGTATAGGGTGTCTCGGAGAGGCCTAGACCTGGTACTTTTGTGGAGCAAAACTGGCAGCAGTTTCAGATGCCTTTAGGCTGATACTAGAGAGGCATGGTTCGAATGTGATGTTGCAAATCCCAAAAGGGATTCACTAATAAATCCAACTTCTGCTGAGTTGTTGTTGATTTTTTTTTTACTCCAAACACCAGCACATCAACCTTTCCTTCCTCATGAGTAAAACAGAATCTGGGAGGAGCTGCCTACATCCTAGTGGTCCCGGGCCCTAAGGAAGTTAGATTGGCTTCAACCAGAGCCAGGGCCTTTTCAACTCTGGCCCCGGCTGGTAGAACACTCTGCCTCATGAGACCAGGGCCCTGCAGGATCTGATTTCTTTCCGCAGGGCCTGTAAGACAGAGTTGTTCCGCCTGGCCTTTGGCTTTGAGCCAATTTGATTCCCTCCCTCCCTCTCTTTTTTCTTTTCCTTCTCCTCCTGCAATGAGGCTACATTTTAATATTTTAATGTTCCATTATTTTAATGTTGTATTTTATTTTTGTTTTTAAGTTGTAATCATTTTCTTGTTTTTATTATTGCTTGTAAGCCACTCTGAGCCCGGCCTTGGCGGGGTATAAATAAAAAAATATTATTATTATTATTATTATTACAGCTTCACATTAGGGATACATTGTGATGCTTTGTTGTAAGCCCAACTCGTATTTTGCTTAATGCTACAAAGAGGATTATGCTGAGCGATAGCTGAGCAATCAGGAAATGATATTATTACAGGCCTCACACAGCTTACTTAGCCCATTTGGACTATGATCCTACAACTGGAATTCTAAAGAATCTCCCCCTATAGCTTTGGCCACTGTTAGAATTCCTGATCTATGATTGCAGTCATGGGATTTTTGTTCATCGCGTGACAGTGTGTGTTTTGACTCCAGAGTGGGAAGTGATGGAGACAGGATGTTTGTGTTACTGTGTTCTGTGAAGTGGGACTATTGCAGTGCTCCATGTGTGTTTATATGTAAATAAAGTAGATTAGCCAAAATGCTGAGTTGCTGAGGCCTTCTCTATTCTGGTGCCCTGATTCTGAAATTTGCACACACACACCCAAAAGGTTTGCCAGGGACCAATTTTCTCAGATAAAAAACTCCTTTTTTTCTTTTTTTGGCAAGGCCATTCAGGTGTTTTAACGTGCAGGTTTTACTTTACACTGGGTTTTCTGCTCTGCTGCAATTTATTTTATTGTGTTTCTTTTTTTTTAAGAGCATACAATAATAATTCGATGCCATCCACATCTTCTAGTATAGTACTGTATGGCCAGCATGCTTTTTGGGAAGCTCGTAGAGAAACGGGTGAAAAAAAGCACTTGGGATCACTGTGCAAATGCACTTTATTGAGATACCCATACTAAGATGCAGAAATGTTTCCCCTCACCAGATTTCAGGTCACACTACTTCAATTACTCAAGGGAGAGGTGAGTAGGGGGGGGGGGGACAAAAAACAAACTGCACTTGAGAACAATGACTGTATAGAGCAGCCTTTCTCGACCTTTTTTAAAAGACATCTGAAGGCAGCCCTGTTTAGGGAAGTTTTTAATATTTAATGCTGTATTGTTTTTAACACTCAGTTGGGAACCACCCAAATGGCTGGGGAAACTCAGCCAGATGGGCGGGGTATAAATAACAAATTATTATTATTATTATTATTATTATTATTATTATTATTATTATTCCGTCCCCAGATATTGCTGGACTACAACTCCCATCATCCCCAACTATCAAGACCAGTGGTCAGGGATGATGGGAGTTGTAGTCCAACAACTGGGGAGCCAAAGTTGAGAAAGGCTGCTATAGAGCAAGCCACGGTAGAAAGGATTAGGTTGACTTTTGGGGGGTAGTAGCATGTGCAACAGGGATGTGGGTGGCACTGTGGGTTAAACCACAGAGCCTAGGACTTGCCGATCAGAAGGTCGGCGGTTCGAATCCCCGCGACGGGGTGAGCCCCCGTTGCTCAGTCCCAGCTCCTGCCAACCTAGCAGTTCGAAAGCACGTCAAAGTGCAAGTAGATAAATAGGTACCGCTCCGGCGGGAAGGTAAACGGCGTTTCCGTGCGCTGCTCTGGTTCGCCAGAAGCGGCTTAGTCATGCTGGCCACATGACCCGGAAGCTGTACGCCGGCTCCTTCAGCCAATAAAGCGAGATGTGGTTTAACCCACAGCGCCACCCACATCCCTTATTTAATAAGTTTAGATGCAAGTTAATGACCATTTAGATGGACTGCCTCGCCAGAGTGGTGCATGATCTGGTTATCTCCCGCTAGGACTACTGCAATGTGCTCTACGTGTGCTAACTTTGGAGGTGACCCGGAAACTACAACTAATCCAGAATGCAGCAGCTGGACTGGTGACTGGGAGTGGTCTCCGAGCCCACATAACATCGGTCTTGAAAGACCTACATTGGCTTCCATTACGTTTTTGAGCACAATTTAAAGTGTTGGTGCTGACCTTGAAAGCCCTAAACAGCCTCGGTCCAGTATACCTGAAGGAGCGTCTCCACGCCCATCATTCTACTCGGACACTGAGGTCCAGCGCTGAGGGCCTTCTGGCGCTGTCCTCCCTGCCAGAAGCCAATTTACAGGGAACCAGGCACAGGGCCTTTTCGGTGGTGGCACCCGCCCTGTGGAACGCCCTCCCACCAGATGTCAAAGAGAAAACAACTACCAGACTTTTAGAAGACATCTGAAGGCAGCCCTGTTTAGGGAAGCTTTTAATATTTGATGCATTACTGTATTTTAATATTTTGTTGGAAGCCGCCCAGAGTGGATGGGGAAGCCTACCTAGATGGGCGGGATATAAAATTAATAATAATAATAATAATTTCACATGTCCCAGGCAGGTGCATACTTCTTATTGGGTTGTCTTTGTTTTATTTTATTAAGTTTTATGTGTTTTTTATATTGCAATTTTATGTTGTGAACTGCCCTGACATCTATAGGTACAGGGTGGTATGCAGATTTTAATAGTAAGAAGCAGCTGTTCCAGCAGTGTAAAAGCCATGCTTAGTTTTGACCACCTCTACATACAAGTTACCCACTCCCGGAACCTACTGTTTCTGTTACATGCAAACACAGGAACCCGCCTGGTTAGTTCAGGATTGTCCAGAGTTTGAGCACAGCTCTCCAGGGCCTCAGACAGGAAAGTCTTCTCCAACCACACCTGGAGATATATCAGGGATTGAACTTGGGAACTCTTGCATGCATCACATGTGTTTTATCACTGAGCTACAGACCTTACTTTGGAAAGCACCAAACAGCCAGTTTAATGTGATCCTGGAAAACAAAGACTGACTGATATGGGGCATATCGTGCTTTCAAACATAGAAGGCAGAAGAAGCAATTCTGGTTTTATTAGCCATTAGTTTATCCCATCCCACTCCACTCACTGCTTTAATGCAGCAACACTTCCAAGTTGTCTTCTGCGCATCCCATAGCATTGGTTCCTCATGCAGTCCACCGGCTTCCAAGCGGATTAAAAATGCAAACTGCATGCAATTTCAAATACGCAGTTTCCAAATTATACATTGTCAAGGGCTATTCTCTTTTTTGTAACTGTGATGTTACCTCTCTCTCAAGCTTGTGAGTTCAAAGTCAGAAGCTTCTGAAAACTCTGCAAATTCTCTCTCTCTCTCTCTCTGTGTGTGTGTGTGTCCCTCACAGATGTACAGAGAAAGCTTTTGAGGAAATAAAAAGACTTTGCTTTAGACTATCTGCCTAATAAACCATCTGTTTGGATTGAATAAGCATCTATTTGGAGCCAAGCAGTGCAGTTTGCAAACCACCATCCGGAAATAAAGAGGTGCACCACCGTCCCCTCAACAAGTTAACCGTGGCAGCGGAAAAACTCGCACTTCAGACAAATCCACACATTTGATTTTATACACCACTCTTGAACATCAAATTAAAAAAGTTACAATTCACTGAACAGGTTGGTTGCAGCTTAGAACATTTCATTATCATTATATATATATATGTATATTTTAGAAAAAAGACAAAACAATATCCAGATGAAAGACTGTGACAAACAGCAGATCCTGTCGTAGGCAGCTTTGCAAAGATCAAGGTACCGTGGGAGAAAGGCACGTTAACCTCTGATTGGTCCTGTGTGCTGTCATTTGGATGAAAATTGTAGTGACATATAACCCTGAGACTGTGGGAGGCTATGAGCAAGAGTTGACCAGGTGCACAGGCCCATTTTTAAAAGTACAAGTTTAACGAGGTTTAAGATCCAGCACCCAGATGACGACATTCATTTCACCTCAAGGGAATGGAAGGAAACGGCATTCTTCGTGCAAGGCTGGGAGGGACACTAGGGTCTCCAAAGCTGCTGGGATTATGTCTCAGAAACACCCCACTTGGTTTGACTTACGAGCAGATTCACAATTTCCCCAGGGTATGTATCTAACAGTGTAGCTTACCTGATACTCAGGTATCTATCAGTGGAATTTAGGGGGCGGGGCCTCCCCTAAATCTGCTCTAGAGGAGCCCTGACTGCTGTGCAGCAGATTTAATAGGGGTAGCGTGGTTGTAGGGTAGAAAGGGGAATTACAAAAAAAACCCAAACCCTGCTTCACTCCGTTTCACTGATAGATGTTTTACCACCAATTGAGCACCACCACTGGACCCAACCCTATGTCTAAGATGTTGGAAGCATAAAGTTCAAAACATGCCATACAGATGGCACAGACCCTTTGCAAACTGGTATATCGTATAGATGTTAGCTGGGGGTCCAACCCTGGCTAAGACCCCCTACTGACCATGTTTCATTAGCAGGCCCATCTTTGCGACACATGATCTGTGAAACAGCCCTCAGTGTTTCCTGTGTGTCCAGGCACTTAAGAGTGGAAATGATTTTTTGGGAACTGTTTTATTCGGGGAAGGGGGGCAGTTATTCAACGAACTCTCATAAATGCATGAAAAAGGCCCTTGCAGCCATGTGCCTATAGAGAGTGTTTACATGTACACATGTAAAACTGTACCATGTTTATGACTATGTTTATGACAAAGGGACGCAGACCTAGGAGCTGGAGCTGACAGGAAGCACCACATCGTGTGTCTGGCTCGCTGTGGTTTTTTGCTTTTCTTAAATTCTATTAATCTAGGTTTTCAAGATAGCCTGCGAAAGAGAACCATAAAACGGATCAAAAACATCGCTGTTAAAATGGCTGCCCTGGAATACATGATGCAGCCTCAATGTCTGGAGGCATAAGCTCTTCTTGCGGCCACCGCTTTTCTCAATCGTAAGATGGAAGATGAAATAAGGACTTTCCCCTTTTGTAGGAAAGAATCTCAGATTGTAAGTGGAACGAGAGAAGCTAATGTTACTATGAAACTTACTTTCTTTCTTCAGGCTCCAGACCAAAGTCCAGGAGCACAGTTGCATTTCGAAGGAACCCTTTAAGCTTGCACAGTATTATAAAGCCGCAACTCAGTGCCAGCTGCTGCCCTTCGCCAAAAAAGTATCACGGCAGTGGCTCTCTTTAGATCTCAGACTTCTGACAGCCAGAACCCATCATATGAATTAGAAATTAGAGGCATATTTCATCCATCTCTTTGCCCAACCCCAGGGGTAAAACCAGGCTGACTTTCAGACTATGCCATCTAGAGAAAGGGCTTCTTTCAATGCTCAGAGCAGCACAGCTCCTTCTTCTGCATGAGCCTGCGTTCCACACAGGCCTCCATAACAAAGAAACCGAAGACACAATGGACAACCACAGCCGAAGGCCAATACTCCTGCTCCTTCGCTACAATAGGAGAGGCAGAAAGCTCTGCACCATGCCCAGGGCAGACATGGGGCTAACATTATCCAGAACCAACAGAAGCTGCTTGGAAGAATGCCAGGCCAGAGTATTAAATCACACAGAGGGACGCATCAGCCAGTCTCGCCCAAGACGTGGATTTCTTTAGCTCACTACTTATTTCCAGCCCCACAACTGCAGTTTCTTTGTGGCACAGCAGCAGCAACAGCATCCTTTGGCAAACTGGGCAGGAAAACTGAACTCCAGCTGAGAAGAAGCAAAAGGAATTTAAGCTCCAATTTTGTCTTGCAGTGTTGTTTCTTGTCTTGGCAGAGAGGAAGCAAACCAAGCATTTTGCCATAGCAACAAACGCCGAGTTGCAAGTGCATTTTCTTGGATGGTCCAATTTAGAGGGGTTACGAATTACAGAGTGCAGCTGCACCGGGGTCAGCGGCTGAACAGCCACATGGGTCCCTGTGGGACTTCCATCGAGAAAGCCCCAAAGGCCAGGCACGGGCAAAAAGTCTCCGCTCGTGCGCAGCAAGTCCAGAAGACCAGCCTATGACTCGTGCTGCTTCGTTGTGGGATCTTGGATTGCCTTGCTAATAAACCCGACACAAGGCAGTCATCGCTACTCCATGTTAAACAGAGCTATGTAGGGTTTAGGTTTTTAGTCACTATCCCTGCAGTGCTAAAAGACGTTTCAGCGGCTTTAATGAGCTGGGCCACACACAATTTTCAACGCTGGAGGCCATTTGGGGTAGTTATTTGGCAGATCTATGGGGCCAGTCTCAGAAACATTTCACCCAGCAGAACTAAAAATCTAACACAGGTGGACTGTGAAAACTGGCCATTTCTTCCTCCACCACCTCCCTTCACAGAGCTCTCATGGACCACGAATTTCGCCCTGCAACCATCTACACACTCATATCCTTCCTGTGGATCCGTGGGGGGAGGAAAGGGGAAAAGAGAAGGCAAGACAGGCCAAGTCCACAGGTCACATGTTGGACCACAGTACAGCATCATTAAACTTGTACTTTTCAAAATAATGTGAAGCCAGGTGCAAGCTGGGCTCTGTGGATAAAGTAGTAACGTATCTCATTATATAAATACTTTTTAATTTTTTTCCTTTTAATTACAAGAAGCTTTTATTCCAGGTAATGTGACTGACAAAGTACCAGCACGTACGTACATACACCCCAACGCACACACACACTCGCACTCGCAGCCCCTGGGCTTTCACAGAAAGCTTGGCAGCAGCCGATCTAATGGAGGATTTCTACCTCACAGCAAAGTAAGGGGAGAAGGGGGCATGTAAGTTTGGTTAGCCTAAGCTCAGGGCAAAGACCCAGCCATTTTTAAGAAATGCAATAAAAAGAGGGGTTTATAAACCCCGTTGTAGAAAGATCAAAGGAGATTAAACCAAAACTAAAACTGTTCAAAAAATGTACAAAAACTGTTGGGAGACGGGTGGAAGATGCTGCGCCCCTTCCGAAAAGAAAACAAAAGAAAAGGTTGACCCCAAGTTGCATCAAAACCAGAAGAGAACAGTGTAGTCGTCACACAATTCCTTTGTGTTTTAAAAAAGAAATGCAGAGGGGGAAATAATTTGCACGAAAGATCTTTGTTTGGAAATTGTTCTTAGCTCCAGAGACCAGCATAATTCCCATGGAGTCCAGACGGAAGGGGACCTCCTGCCACAAAGAGTTTCGTGCCAGACGAGTCGTAGCAGTGGGTGTAAACAGCGTTTGGGAAGGAGCTGATGTCTGAAAAGTAATTCCGCCAGGTTTCATCATGATTCTGTCAAAGGAAAGGGCAACAACTGAGTCAGTCATGACCTTCCCCGCAACTGGCTGCTGCGCATCCCCAGGAGCACTAAAAGGGAACTGGGAAGCTGCTGACCAGCTAGGAAACCCAAGCTGTTTAACAAGATGGGGAACAGCAGCAAAATAAGAGCCACCAATTTAAGCTGAAGCTGGTTTTCAGCCTAATAATAATAATAATAATAATAATTAATAATTATACCCCGCCCATCTGACTGGGTTTCCCCAGCCACTCTGGGCGGCTTTCAACAGAATATTAAAATACAATAGTCTATTAAACATTAAAAGCTTTCCTAAACAGGGCTGCCTTCAGATGTCTTCTAAAAGTCTAGTAGTTGTTGTTCTCTTTGACATCTGGTGGGAGGGCGTTCCACACGGCGGGTGCCACTACCGAGAAGGCCCTCTGCCTGGTTCCCTGTAACTTGGCTTCTCGCAGTGAGGGATCCGCCAGAAGGGCCTCGGAGCTGGACCTCAGTGTCTAAGCAGAACGATGGGGGTGGAGACGCTCCTTCAGGTATACTGGACAGAGGCCACCCCACCCCCTTTTGATTAAGAGGCAAGTCCTTTTCATAAGGCAAGTGACTAAAGTGGCAGGTAGAGGAAGGTGGCAAATTCACACAGGCCTGCTGCCCACCAGGTGAGGCTTCCCACTTCCTCTCCCTCTAAGGAGGGCCTTTACACTTTGTACTGCACCTTTAAATGGGAGCGGCACTCTCACACCCTCCTAACACAGAATGCCTCACTCTGAGGAAGGACCTTCTTGGCCCTACCTAGACCAAGGCAGGATGGAGAGAGGAGGATCAAGAGTGCTGCCACCAGAAGGGAGAGGAAGGGATGGCAGCAGTGGCGGGAGAAGATGCGGAGAGGGCGGTGGCGCAATCTCTTGCATCGGCTCTGTGGACCAAACTCTTACGGAAAGGAAAAGAAAGAGCTTCTAAAAGCCTGGCATATCCGTTCACTAGAAAGAGCAAACAACTTATTTCACCTGTACCTGGCAACGCTGCCAGAAACAGAGTCCTCAGTCAGTGGAAGAGCCCTTAAAAAAGCAATGTTTGTGGCAAGGCTACCTCTCGTTCAAGCTGCAAGCTACTCACCAGCCAACCTTTGCCAGTCGACAACTTGAGAATTTCACTTCCTCCTAATTTTGTTCCGTAGCAACTGTGCGGCGGCTTCTCGTCCAGGAACCTCTGGGCTCGGATGTCGTAGAACAGCAAGGAACCCTGCCCAGTCCCCACCGTGATAATGTGTTCGTAGAAGCTCACAGAGCGAATACCTGTCGTGGAATGGGAGGTGGTTAATGGCAAGATCTGTGCCCATGGTTTTCATCATCATCATTTCAGAATGCTGCCTTCATTTTTTTCCCCAAAAATAAAAAATCTTCAAAAGCATTTCACTCATTCTAAGAGAGAAAATATTGCCCAGGGGGATTTTCCTCCAGCATTTCCACAAATTTACAATTTTTACAAGGGAAATGAGGCCTCAGCAAAAAAAATGGGAAGAATATTTATTTCCTCCCATTTTGTTTACCCCCCCCCAAGCTCTACAGACAGCTGACTTGATGGCAGTTGGGCTCCTTATATCAAAGGACATGATGGAGTTGCTTCTCCCTCATTAATGCCAGCGTCAGTGTGGACAATTAGTCAGAACAGCTAAAAATGAAACCTCCACCTTTAGCAGCAGTCTACCTCTGCTTACTAGAAGGGACGCGGTTGGCGCTGTCGGTTAAACCACTGAGCCTAGGGCTTGCTGATCATAAGGTTGGCGGTTCAAATCCCTGCAACGGGGTGAGCTCCCGTTGCTCGGTCCCTGCTCCTGCCAACCTAGCAGTTCGAAAGCACATCAAAGTGCAAGTAGATAAATAGGTACCACTCCGGCGGGAAGGTAAACGGCGTTTCCGTCCACTGCTCTGGTTCGCCAGAAGCGGCTTAGTCATGCTGGCCACATGACCCGGAAGCTGTACACCGGCTCCCTCGGCCAATAAAGCAAGATGAGCGCCGCAACCCCAGAGTCGGCCACGACTGGACCTAATGGTCAGGGGTCCCTTTACCATTACATCTGCTTACTAGGTGGTGGAGAAAGATAACACGGTTATCACCCTGCCAGGTTTGTGAGCAGGAATAAAAGGTCACAGACCCCCTTGATTTGTTCCAGTCTGTCAATGCCAATGTACTTTTCTTAACGGGAACCTGAATGTCAGCAACTGCTGTGGTTTATGTCTCATTAGTAGCAAAAAAATGCCCCTTTCCACATTACAAAATAAATGAAGGAGATAAACAATATGCTAATTAGCTGGGGCGGTGAAGGGGGGGAGTATACGAGAACAGATTTTGAAATTTATGATACTTCAAAAACCAGTCTCAAAATTCTGAACGTTAAATGATTTAATGTCATGCACAGGCACAAATGGTACCTGGAGATAATGGGAAACCTTTTCTCGTGTGCACCCACTCTCTGAACTATTTTGGGCATGAACTTCTAGTCACAGAACCTTGCTGCTGAGGTTTAAGAACATGATGAATTACACTTCAATGCCGCAGTATACCAAACTGTGTTATTAAAAAAATCCAGACAGGAAAGAATTATTATCGCACAGCCCTGAGCCAGTGCAAGGTCTGCTTTGACTTCTTAATGTATATCAACCAACATGAGCAGCCAGATGACGTGGCCTATGCCATCAAGTGAGGCCCAAGATTTGGCTAAAAATAAGGCCTTGGCAATCATAAAAGATCAGCGAGGTTCTGGGAAGTATAACTGAACAAAGAGGAGAAAACCCAGGGATTTTGGACAAGTCAGCTTCATTTTGACACCAGGAAAGATGTAGGAACAAAACTGAACAATTTAGATCCTTGAAAACATTAAAGTGGTGCTCAAGAAAATACATAGATTTAATGAATGCCGCTGTGGGTAAAAGCCTCAGCACCTAGGACTTGCCGATCGAAAGGTCGGCGGTTCGAATCCCCGCGGCGGGGTGCGCTCCCGATGCTCGGTCCCAGCGCCTGCCAACCTAGCAGTTCGAAAGCACCCCCGGGTGCAAGTAGATAAATAGGGACCGCTTACCAGCGGGAAGGTAAACGGCATTCCGTGTGCTGCACTGGCTAGCCAGATGCAGCTTTGTCACGCTGGCCACGTGACCCGGAAGTGTCTCCGGACAGCGCTGGCTCCCGGCCTCTTGAGTGAGATGGGCGCACAACCCCAGAGTCTGTCAAGACTGGCCCGTACGGGCAGGGGTACCTTTACCTTTATGCCATATTTGATTTTTTTCTCTAAAAGTGTGGCACATCTTATTGATAAGCTGGAGCCAGTAGGTTAAGAGATCTACATTTTAAAAAGACCTTTAGACACGGTGTCTCTTAAGACATGCTAATAAATCCAACCTGGAGTAGAATTAGGAGGTTTATATAACTGCTTAGAAAACTGTGCAGAATCTGCCTGAGTAATATAAGAACTCCAGTACTGATGTTCTGTACTATCACAGCAATACAATAGTGACTTGGAGGCAAGAATTTCAAAGGGCATTGAAATGGGAAACTCCAACTACTTCAGAAGATATGATCACAATTTAAAAATGAATTGATTATTGGGGGAAAGGGCAGAAATGGAGTTGCTGGAATTAGTAATCGCAAAGACCTGCAGTTCGGCAAGATCCATCACAAGAACTTGGGGAATGAAAGCAGTCATAGCTGACAAGTTGTCCATGCAAACAGAGCTCTCACCATATAACATTGTATTAAAAGGAATACGGTGGACGCTTGGGTTCTGAACGTGATCCGTGCAGGATGCACGTTCGCAACCCGCAGCATTTGCAACCAATGTCTGCGCATGCACGGGTTGCGATTCGGCGCTTCTGCGCATGCGCGGCCGCCGAAACCCGGAAGTAACCCGTTCCGGTACTTCCGGGTTTTGGCAGTCCGCAACCCGAAAAAACATAACCTGAAGCAGCTGTAACCTGAGGTATGACTGTATTAAGAACAACCCATGGGGCAGACTACTTCTATACTATTTGGCAGAGAGGGGATCCTTGCAGGAGCACCAGCTTTCCTCCTTCCCACTTATAGAGGATGTACAACACCATCCCATTGCCAACATCATCCAGTGAAGGAACGCTGTAACAGATTGCCTAGTGTTAAGGCTGAAGCTCCACTGCTTAGGTTTTCTCACGAAGAATCCTTACCACTGCCTCGCTCCCTGGAACAGACAGACTTGACATTGTGGGAAGGCTGCCTTGGGTCCAGAAAGGAGACATGTGCCTGAGATCCAACAGCGTACACAGACCACTCCTGACCATAGGCCAGACACACATTCTCCCTGCAGTACGGTAGCTTCGTTGACAGCAGCTGGGGGGGAAATGAAGACAGAAAACAACCCACATGAGAAGCAGTAGAGAGGACGATGAACAATAGGATGAAATGAAGTATCAAGAAAGTATACTTCCTTGTATTCAACTATTAGATTTTTTTAATGCTTGCCAGCCAGAATTAGCAGGCCTTGCAAACAAATAATAGGAGAAATGAAGTGTATTTGCAGGCTAAACTTGCTTACAGAACTGCTGACAATCAGTGCAAACAATAATGGACTATATGGATCAATGGTTTGACTCAGTTTAAGGCAGATTCCTATGCCCCACCTTTCAGGAGAAAATATGGATCCACCACTGAAAAGGCCCTGCTCCATTACCTGCCAGTCTGTTTAACCTGTGATGGGCCAGTAAGCAGGGTACCTGAAGCAGCTCTTAAAAGCAAGCAGGCAATCCACAGCCATCCTTATCGGCAACCTGACAGAACATGCATGGTAGAGATCCACCCTTGCTGTGAGCAGAGCTTGTGTCACTGACAAGTTTTGCTTTCTCTCCAGCCATCACTCTAAGCTGGTAAAAGGCATCCTAGCCACAGACATTGTGTGCCCCTCCACACACAGCACCGAGCCTAGGAGAACCCCCAAACTATGTGCCTGGTATTTCATGGGGGGTGCAACTCTGTCCAAAACTGACTGCAAATCTCCACCCACTGTACCAGTTGTCACTGGGAACACGGAGACTGCTTTACAGCAGATAAGAGAGCCTTTGATAAATCAGTCAGCTATGCTTTAGAGCAGACATGTTCAACCGGTCGACCATGATCGACAGCTCGATCCCCGGTCGACCCCGGGATCCTTATTGATTGCGGGATTAAAAGAACGGGGGAATGAAATGTCTCTGCCACCCTCCACTCTCTCTCTGTTCCTCCGTCACGTCAAGCGAGCGGTGGTTTGGCGGTCGTTTATGTCAATAGGGGATACGATGACTGGGTTTAGCGCTGCGTGCGTTTGTTAGCTGTCGATTTTTCAGTGAGCACTGTATGGCATTTCCCCTTTAAAAAAGTTCAACAATTCTGGTCAGCCCTCCCAACAGTCAGGAAGTGCTGCAATTTAGCTCAAAACGTATTCAATCCCAAATCAGGAATAAAGCCCAGCATACATTTCCCCCACACTAGCAGGTTACCTTTGAAAGTGTGTATTCTGCTTTCCAGAGGTGGAAATATCCATCCAGGGACACTGCTCCCAGCTCCTAGAACAGAAAGAGCTTTGTAATCCACTCGGCCACCGCGGAAGATCCATGCAGAGTACCAATCAGTATTAAAAGTCTGCCAATGTACAATGCTAAAACAACAGAGACCCCATCTCAGAATCTCAGCACTGACACAAACTCATCCGCCCGCCCCATCTGCAATGTGGGTTCAACCACCATTGACCTAATATGGATGGTTTTTTAAGGATTACTAAAGTAATTTAAAACAAAATGCTTTGGAAAAGGGATAGGGAAAGTGTAGCCCTCCAGGCGTTACTGGACTCAAACTCCCTTCAGCCCTAGCCAGCACAGCACAGGCATGATGGGACTGCTTAGGGAAGTTTTTGAATTTTTTTGCTGTATTGTGTTTTTAATATTTGGTTGGGAGCTGCCAAGAGTGGCTGGGGAAACCCAGCCAGATGGGCAGGGTATAAATAATAGGTTGTTGTTGTTTTAGCAACATCAGCAGAACCACAGGTTGCGCACTATAATTTTTCAGTGGCTTCCTGCAAACCATTAAAATTCAGAAAGGTAGCACGGGAAGAAAGAACAGCACAAGCTTATATCCAAAAGTGGTCAAGAGAAGAACTGCATGCACCTCTAGGCTGCTGTGTGCAGCTCTTAAGAATCCAGAGTGCCCTAGTTTTTATTTAAAAATGAAGCACTCAGCAGTTTCTAGACCTCAGAATCAGAGGCACAGGTTGCAAAAATCTGATGGCGAAAGCCAAGCAGGACTGGCAGATATCCCTTATTTTAAAAGCAAGTCCCTTATTTCACAACATCACTGCTCTACAGAGCCCATGGGGCATGACACCCTCAGTGCCTTTGCCATTTGCAACACAAATAATTGTATCTGGCTTCTCCCCTTCAATTTCAGTGTTTGCGTCAGCAAACCAATGGGAAGCACAGCAGGTGCCTGCCTCAACGTCATCACAATTTTTAACATTTGTTTAATTTGCAACACCTGCAGAAATATGGGTGTTCTTCTTCCGCCTCTCCCAGCATCAAGAATTTGCATTCTGGGGCAGGCCGGAATGATAGAATGGGTGAGAGGTGTTTAAGTAAAAATGCAGAAGTGGGGGGAAGCCCAGCTGGGCGTTATTGGGGGGGGAGGGGTCCCACATGCAAATTCCTGGAAAACTCAACTATGCCTTTTTTTGTTTTGAGCTTTCAGCACACACTTTTTCAGTTACTTAATGTGGTTTCAGCCAGAAAAGGAACCAAAGGATTGAGAGCTAGAAAGTGGGGGTGGGAGCAGAGTGGATAATAATAATAATAATAATAATAATAATAATTCCAACGCTGAAATTCTCGGGATCGTAGCTACTTTCAACGCATTTACAGCACTGGCAATGAGAAGGTTATGGTCAGACATGGAATTGGTGGAAATGACTGGTAGAATCTGAGACCAGGGAGAAGAGTCGGTGGAAGAAGACTGGAAGAAATTTAAAGACTATTTACAGAGATATTGTAAAATTAATGAATCCTAGAATGATGTTGGATTGAAATTAAGTGGTTTCTAGCTGTAATGTTACAAAAGAATATGAAAAAATGGTTTTTTATAAGTAAAAATTTAATGTTATAATAACTTAAGATTAAAGATCAGGGTAGAATAAAGAGGGAAAGAAACTGCTGAGCTAATAAATTGAATTGGAATACAAAAAAGGGAGGTATGAGGAGGTCCGGGAAACAAGTAAATGAAAAATAATGTGATGAAAAGATTGATTGTTTTTAACTATTTTGTATTTTTTTCTTTTTCTATTTTGCAATGTAAAAACCCTAATAAAATTTTATATATAAAAAAAGAGAAGGTTATGTTCAGATACCTCGGAACTTATTTATCTTACTGACCTTGTTCTTGTTGTTGAAAGCTAGTGCCCGAACCTTGCAGTTGTCCGGGTTGGTATTCTCCTTGGGGATGTCCTTCAGAGCCCTGTGTGTTATGTGAGCATAGACGGGAACTCGAGACAAGTTGCGTCTTGCATCGCTCTTGGCTAGGACTTCATCCGTCACTTCCCAGAGCCCCATTGAACCATCCCGGGAGCCTGAATGGGACAGCAGACCCAAGGACACATTAAACACATGCCCTCCTAGTACTATGCTGCTCTCTGACTGCGATGGGGCACATGTCTAAATAGAGGCAAGCGCTACGTATTCAGTCACGCACCACTCATAACGCAGCTCTCTGCCTGCCACAGGCCAAGCCAGGAACACTGCACTGTCTATCTTGGCGCAGGATGTTCCAGGCAAGCAAGGAGAGCCGAACACCCAGTTTCCCGCAGAGAAAAGGTTGTGCACACAGAATGCATTCCAAAAGGGGCAAACATCTGAAATTCTTTCAAGATGAATTGAACTCTGACAGCCTCCTGCAACCGTCTGTTTGGTTAGCACACTACAGAACAAACTGTGTAAACGCAGTCCTGCAGTGCACCCTGACAAAGGCACAACTGTAGACTTTACAGAAGGTTGTAAACAAGAGCAAAAAAATAAAGATCATGCCACAGCATCCTGGCATTTCTCCACTGGATGTGTTACAGTGGGACAAAGTCCAGTCAGCCTCCACTGCGAGGGCTTTGGAGCTATGCTGAACGCTGTCAGCGTCGCTCAGTACATCCTGTGGGCTGTTTCTCAGCTTGGCTGTAACACAGCGCAATTATAATCACTATGGAAGAGTGAAATCTGCCATGGTTCATTTGCTATTCTGAAGATATGCAAATGCTGCAACCATTATCACAGCATACTGTGACACAGGAAAAGCTACCCAGGCTCAGAAGCCCATTTTAGCTTCCAGGCGAGGAAGTGGCAATGCAGAACTGGGGCCAAGCAGCCCAGCTTCTAAGAGCAGGTGTGTGGTTCAAGTATCAGTATTTCAGAACTTTGGGACAGAATTGGAAGCAGTTTGGCAATGGGGGTGGTTATGAGATTTCCTCTGAAACCTCAAGCCCCTACCCTTTCTGGTTACAGAAAAACCACTATAATGTTCCATGTGTGGATCCACAATGAGGCTCAGAAACTAGAGGGAGCCTAGGCAGGTCTTTCAGAAGACTTCAGTGCTCTCTCCACAGTTTCTTGGCCACTTTGCCATGGCTAAAAATTCACCTTTCTGCTAACTTCAAAGTGGCCACCTATCCCTCCATGCCTAAGTCCATGTCCTTATGTTCTCTGCCGAATTTTAGAATGGAATGACAAAACTCCCGTGGAGTGGGGAATCTAGCTCTTGGGTGCCAAAAATGTGAGATTCTCTCATACAAGCCAAAACAAACTGCAAGGGGGTAGGAGGAACTCTGTGTGATATATACTTTGCGGAGGACACAGAGATGTTAGAGACATCTAACTCCTTGCAAAAAGTGCAGTTTTCTTTTGGGTTGATGGGTAGGGGGAATATGGAAAAGGGAGCTGCCACAATCAGCTTAAGTACTTAAGACAGATATGATTAAAAATTCAAAAAGACACATCTGAAGCCTCAGGCATTCTACTCCTGTGTAAAAGCAATGGGCATGCTAATCGCCATTGTCATAACACTCCATGACCTGGAAAGCAACTCCCTGAAGCAGGAATCTTCCCGGTTTTCACAGAGGCTTCCTAGGATGTGGAACCCTGGAAAAGGATGGAGACAGGGTGGGAGCCGAGTTTACCACGCACGTTCCCACTCCTCTTGGTTTTACACATGTGTACAATGCCTGAGGGGAGCTTGTGAGTTACAAGAGAAGCTACAGTCCGTTAGATGTTAGGGCGCACAGAAATAAAGCCATTAGCAGAAGTTACCAGAAACAGCCATGGTGTCACTGATCCATGCAATAGAAAATATCCAATCTTTGTGGCCGTCCTAGAGAAAGACAGGAAGGAAGAAATGAGGATGAGGGAGAATTCTTTCAAGGCAAAGGTTTCATATATCAAGGTAAAGGTTTCATGTATTTCCTTAAACATCAAATAAATGCAACTGCTTTTCTTGATAACAAGCATGCAAGGTTGTTCTCCAAAAAGGCAACCAGAGATGCATGATGAGAGGGGGCAGTTTTTGGATTCTTACACTAGAAGATTATAAACAAGTACACAGGACGTCAACCAAGTCCAGTTCCCTGCAATCTCCCACTCAGCTTCACAATATTAAACATTCCAGTTATGCAGAAATACATCAGCCCACCCAACTTCTGACAACCAACATAAAGATGCCCTCTTTAATCTGCCCATCATCGAATGGACCCGTCACCAGATTGAGACAGAATTTCCATGAAAATGAAATAAAACGTCTGAAGCATGTAGGGGCACTTACATCTCCCACGCAGACAGGATCAAGTGTAGGCAGGCGATAAATCGCAAGGCTGTTTGGGTTGTCACCTCCCGTAGCCAAGAGGGTCCTGGAAGGGTTCAGCTCAATGGCGTGAATCCCGCAGCCCTGCTGGTTCACCATGTCTGGTTCTCGGTCCTTCAAAATTGGAATCTTGGTAATCTGACCCGTCTGGACATCGACCACAAACAACTGGAAGGAAGGAAGGAAGGAAGGAAGGAAGGAAGGAAGGAAGGAAGGAAGGAAGGAAGACACACCTGTGGTCAGAAAGTGCCTGTGGCTCATTCCTAAACCTGAATCTGCACAGAGAACACTGCGATTATAGGACATTTTTAACCAAATGTGCTTTGCATGAAGAGAAGAAGCAGCCCATGCTTTTGTGGTAACATGCCCAAAGATGATAAACAAAGAACCAGGAAGTCACTGGTTCAATTCTTCTACCACCATCCACAATATAGGGATGGTGCTGGCCAACCAGGGCTGTTGTCAGGATTTAAGCAAGATAATGTGAAACAGTGAATACTGAAAAAGCATATTACTCTTAATAATATTTTTTCTGCATCAGGTGAAGATGACTTTGGTGTTCCTTCCCCACAACAACTTTGGCACCGCCAGCAGCTGGGATCTGACAGATCACCTGAGGGAATGCGATCCCACTACTGTCTCCATTCCAAGAGCAAGCTGGGAAGCTGCTCAAGTATGCTCTAGCACAGGGGTCAGCAAACTTTTTCAGCAGGGGGCCGGTCCACTGTCCCTCAGGCCTTGTGGGGGGCCGGACTATATTTTGGAGAAAGAAAAGATAAACGGATTCCTATGCCCCACAAATAACCCAGAGATGCATTTTAAATAAAAGGACACATTCTACTCATGTAAAAACACACTGATTCCTGGATCGTCTGCGGGCCAGATTTAGGCGGCGATTGGGCCGGATCCGGCCCCCAGGCCTTAGTTTACCTACCCATGCTAGCACATGGGAGGCAGGAACCCAAGTAAGTACTTGTGTGCTCTGGAGACCCAAAAGTAATAGAGAGAAGGGGAAATATGCAACCTACCAAACCACACTGCAGACTGCTACCTTCATACAGATCTACCCAGCTTGGCTGCCTTTCCTCCTGATCTATTAAGGAAGAGTCAACAAGAGGTTGCTTGCAGAGCCTGGCGTGCTAACTTAGCAGGTTGCAGCTGCCTACAAAACAGATGCTTTGTTCTGCTCTAGGGGAACGCCGTGAAAAATACAATCAGGAAGCCAAATCACAGGGGCCCCTTTTAGACACTGCATTCAACCAACGAATATTTCTGCAAGGGAAAGGGTTGTAGCTCAGTCATTCCAGATTCGATCCCTGACCTCTCTGGACACGTCTGGGAGAGGGGCTCCTGTCTGAAAACCTGGAGAGCCTCTGCCAGGCACTGACAACAATACTGAGCTCTATCAATGGGCCCGGCTCTGTATATGGCAGCCTTCTATATACATACGGAGCATTTTTATGCTGCTTTTCAAACATACTGCTTTTCTGCGTCCCTGAAGGCTAGAAGTTCACTTTAGACAATGAAGAGCTAGAGTTCTGAGGAGTAACAAAAGCCCATCAGCTACCCAGAATTCCCTCTGGGGTCTTGCACAGCCCAGCTCTGTCACAGGGCATGCAAGCCATTTTAAATCGAAGTCCTGTTTTTAGACTCAGGCAGAACAATCCAACAAATGCAGTATGTAGCACCACGGGCAGAAGCAAAATATGCAAGTAATAAATTTTAAAAGTTCAAACAAAAAATCCTTTAAAAACTGATGGCAAAGCAACAGTCCCCATTATGAAAACAAGAGGGAGTGTTTACATCATGGGGTGTAATTCTGGAGTAAACTACTAATTTCAATTTAACCATGTAGTGTGCAGAAACCTGTATATGGGGGGAAGAGGTTATCCAAGTATTTCCAGGTTTGCTTTACTTCTGGTCTTATTAGTGGATGAATGAACTTGTTTCATTATCCTAACTGTAGCTAGGAAGCCTAGCAAGTTGCTCGCTCAAAGCTAAATCAATTCATGCATGAATCAGACACAGAATCCATTTTCAGATTTGAAGTGCTCCTTGCAGAAAAGTTGGCAGCAGCAGCAGCAGCAGCAGCAATGCTGTAGACCTGGACTGGGAAATTTTTAGTCATCTGCTTCTTGCTCAGGCATGTAAAACATTGCTCACCAGATACAAAACTCTTTTCCACAAGGTCTCAAGGCCTATTTCATGCTAGCTTAGGAACCCAAATTAAACAGTTCAAATTTGAATTTAATCGAAACTGCTTAGTTTTGCTTCAGCTCATCTGTAAAACTCAAGCCAGCTGATGCAATTCCCCTACATATGCTAAAAAAACCTAAACACATGTCTTCAAGACCATCTTCCGATACAATTCATACCCTGACTTCTTCAATCAGCCTGACTATTCCAGTTCACCATGCATCTCTCCACTACATTACACAAACTAAAACCCAAATGAACAAAAATGAACTTAGTCAAGTGTATCAAACAAGCAGGAAACCAATTTTTTGCATGTTCAATCAATGCGCAACCACTAAAGCGCAGGTAGTTTTGAACCCAGAAGAGGATAGAATGGGACAGGCTCGTGCGTGCTCCGCCGACACGCACAAGGGCCAGGAATGCAACCCCATGATAATAGAGAGTTGCCTATATGTAAAAATTTCCCATTTAGAAGGATTGTCAGTGAAATGAAAACATGGATTTTAGTGCACCAAATTGAAGCTAGCTCAACAAAAGAACTGTGAGTCAAAAAGTGATCTGTGTGTGTTCTACAATGAAACTGGCATTCACACTATTTAAGAACACATGAAACAGTCTTATACGGAGCCAGATCAAGATTCTCTGCTCTGATTAAATGCAGCATTATTCCCCGCCTGATTGAGAAAATTAAAACTGAAAAATCACCAGGTCTGGAAGGCATCCACCAAAGAGTTTTTAAATGAGAAACGGCTGACCTCCTAACAAAAATAAGTAACTTGTCCATATAATCAGCCTCCATAAATGAGGACTAGAAAATGACCAATGTAAAACCTATTTTGAAAAAATGGATCACATATAAGCTCATGGTTTCAACTGGCAGCGATTGACCAGATCAAACAGACCTTGGGGTTGTAACTGGACTGTTCAATGATGCCAACATCATGTGAGACACAGCAGTGTAAAGGGTGAATTTCATGCTAGGGATCATTAGGAAAGGAAGTGAAAAAGAAACTTTCTTATCACGCTTTTATACAAAAGTATGGTGCAACTGCACTTCAGCTACTGCCCACAGTACAGGTTGCCTCACCTCTAAAAGGGCATTGTGCCACAGAGCATATACACAATAACATAGCCTTCGATTTATGGTAGGTACAGGCAGGCTTGCAACAGGAAACCAGGAACTGCAGGCAGGAGAATAAATGGGCTGGCAGAGGAGGAAAGGTCTCTCTACCATACTAGTAAAAAAATAATTGCAGGCTAGGAGGTTCTAGCAGTTTATATACAAGGCTGAAATAATACAGTAATGAACTCGCTTTCAATTAAAGACAAACGTTGCATAATTATTACTATACTGTATATTTATTCCTACCCCGTCTTTTTCCCTGACAGGGACTCAAGGCAGCTTACAGATAAAACTAAAAGGGAAAGTAGAAAGTGTGTATGACAATGCAGCAAATGCTAAGAAAAAGCAGGCAAGGTTTTAAACGGTCTCACATTTGTCTTTTTCTGAACAGTTCGTGTAGCTACACAATATCCAGGAGCGGTTCTAGCTTAAGGAGATAGAGATTTACACTTACTGTGTTGCATTTTGTCCCACACACCACTTGCCGGTGATTCAGCCACTGAGATGCAAACACTTTATTGAGGGTCCCAAGGTGAAACTCTCTTTCCTTCAGGAGACTGGGCAGTTGCTGGGCTGCATATCCGTGCAGGAGTCGGTGGTAGCTGGACTCATCCTGCATCCGCACCTCTCTTCCTTTCAGGTAGCATACCAGTGACCTTTTAACTGGGGGGAGCCGCTTCCTTTTGTGAGCTGAGTGGTCCCAGCCATACTGTGGGAGAATGCCAACAGTTCATGTAACTTACTACCTTGAAATGAGTCTGCCTATCTGCCCCAGAGGGAAGATCCATTTCATGTAACATCAGAGACCCCTTAAGAATATGACACATCTTTCACTGGACCAGAGATATATTCTAGGATCTTGCTCTACTGCATAATAAATAATAATGATGATGATGATGACACGTCCTCATAAAGATTTAAACCAGTGTTAACTGTCTTGACTACCACCCCAGGGAATCCTGGGGATCTTTTCTCAGGGGTTCCCCCCCGCCGAATCTGTCCTTTCTCTTAAGACATTCCCTGCCTTCAGAGGTTAGGTTAGGGTGGCAAACAAGTGAAGGACTTCATCTGTGGTGGCTCCCACTTTATGCAACACCTTCTCTAGCAGTATTCACATGGGACTGATTTGTTTCATTTCAGAAGTCTTGTTAACACTTTTTATTGTCTTACACATATGATATACCTGCTTCTTGACAATTCTTGTACAATTCTTGACAAATTGTAAAGTGATAAGCATGGGATTTTTAGCTCATTTTACATTTTATGGTTAATTCATTTCTAATTACGACCAGCCATTCCCTCGCTTGTTCTGGAGACCTGGAAAGGTTGCTCGTCATTTCGTGGCATATTGGTTTGCCTAATAAAGATATTGATTGCTCCGATGTGGATTTTGCCATTTTACCTACTGGCCAGTACAGCTACCTTTACTTTCTGAGGCATTATCGTGCCTACACCTTGGGTTAAAATAGAAAATAATGAACCATCGGTACCATGAAGATGAACTACAATGTGGACGTTTGCAGAGGACCAAGATGTGTTCACGTAAATTTACATTTTCAGCTGACCCAAACACCTAAAGTTTAATTCCCCCCCGAGACAGTAAACTGCATCTAAACTGTAGGTCTTCAGGCAGCAGGCCTGACTGCTACTTACATCATAGAATGCTCCTCCAATACACAAAATTGAAAATGAAATCCCTGCACACGGGAAATTGGCAAGTCAATCGGCTGCACCCAAGCTTCCAGGTGGGCTGCTTTGTTGTTGTTGTTTTCACCTACAGGGATTTCCACCCCCTCCCCCTTTCTGGATGGAGGATCAATCAATCAGGCAAGTCTTAAATAGTCTTTGCCAGCGGCTTCTGAAGGACTCCGCCCGGCTCGTCGTGGCTACATCGGCGAGCGAGGTTCGGGGAGAGGAGGGCCTTGGCTTGTCGCTCACGCGGATGCCCAGCTTCCCTTTCCCCTCCAGCCCCCGAAAACAAACCTGATGCGCCCTCCTCTGGCCAGCCAAGCCCCGCCTCCACCCCCTCCGTTTACACGCGGTCCGCAGCATCGGGAGCCCGGGCGGCGTTTGGGCACTATGGGCGGAGAGCAGCGGCCGGCGCGCCTGGTGCCCTCCTGGCGTTCGGGGCCGAGGCGGTTGCAAAGCTCCGAACGCCGAATCCAGGGCTCGGGCGCTGCCGAGAGCCGCTGGCTTCTCCTTCGGGCTGGAGGGAGAGAGGAGGGGAGCAGGTCTTTCCAGGGGGCGGCCGGGTAGCAGGCACCGATCAGCCCCCCGGCGCTCTCCAGGGCGCAGCTGCGATGCGCCCTGGTCCCCTCTCCAATTGCGCTCCGCGACCACCACCCCGGTCCAAGGACGCATCCAGCAACCCTCGCCACCGCCATTGCAGGTGGCAAGAAGGCCCCGGGGGTTGGGCAACCGGGAAGTGTCATCTGGCTGCGCCGCCGCCTCCACCGGCACCGATCCGGGCGGCTTCATCGCCCTTTCCAAACTCCACGCACCTGCCGCAGCTTGGAGGGATCAGAGCCAGCGGGGAGGAGCGCGGTGGGAAGGAAATGGAGCCTGCATGTTCAGGGGCAGCCTACCTCTGAACGCCGATAAAGCAAGCGGCGGGAGGAGGAAGGGTCCCCACGGCAGAAGAGGGGATGGGGAGACAAGGCGCTGGGGCCCGCGGCTCGGAGCTAACGAGCGCAAACCCTCGCTTGCTTTCTTTGGGGGTGGAGGAGGAGCGACGAGCCTGGTTTTATTTGCCGATTTCATTGTTTGCGCTTTGAGCTGGGGGGCAGCTGCAAATAATGGAGACAATGGAGCAGTCGGGCCCTCCGGCCTTTCTCTGTCCTCCAAAGCAACACACTACCGTGTGGATCGGTCGATTGCAATATTAAAGTTATTATGGGGACGGTGTCGGGTACGGATCGAGGGAAAACCGAGGGAAGAGAAATAGACAGTGTACTGCAAACTGCCTTGGGCACCTTGGCGGGAATCCGGTACCTACAGGAAATAGGTAACCCTACAGATCCGCGCAAACATGAATGCGCATTGTTTACGCACCGCCTTCCCGCTTTACCTTCTGTTTCGCTCCCCTCCGTTTCTCCCGCTCCCCCGCCGCTGCCCCCACAATAACCTGCACGTTACCTTATATCATATATTGATTATACACTGAACTATATTACTGATTGATCGGCAGGGAGCAGAGGACGCGCGCGCGTGTATTCACACGTATGTTTCACGTCTGCCTCTGGCACATCTCCGTGTGTGTCCGGAGACAGGCGGATGCCAACCCGACCTAGAGGCCCAAGCCTATGTCCCCTGTTGTAAACAAAAATTGCCCTTTTTTCCCTTATGGGGTATCCAAGAGCCCTTTTAGAGTCCTTTGCAGGTTCTCCATCTGTCGGAGAAAAAAGCAGAGGCCAACCAGAGAAAATAGAGGAGCAAAGCAGCTCGCAAGCCTGATCTTTATTGAACTGTTGCAACCGGGTGCTCCTCTTACACGCAGGAAAGGAGGAGGAAAATTCCTATCACACGCCCCCCCCCGTACAAGAAAGAGCAGGTTCTGCCCAGCTGGGTCCAGCCCCTCGTCCTCCGACACGACCACCCACCCCAAAACAAACCCCCCTCCTTCCCAACCAAGTCCCAAGGGCCAAATACAGTATTGGGGGGCCAGCCTCCCACCTCCCCGCCTTCCCAAGACAAGCCCCCTCCTTCCCAACCAAGTCCCAAGGGCCAAATACAGTATTGGGGGGCCAGCCCCCCAACTCCCCAAGACAAGCCCCCTCCTCCCCAACCAAGTCCCAAGAGCCAAATGGCTTATTTGGGGGCTAGCCCCCCACCTCCCCAAAACAAGCCCCCTCCTCCCCAACCAAGTCCCAAGGGCCAAATACAGTATTGGGGGGCCAGCCCCCAGCTCCCTAAAACAAGCCCCCTCCTCCCCAGCCAAGTCCCAAGGGCCAAATGCATTATTTGGGGGCCAGCCCCCCCACCTCCCCAAAACAAGCCCCCTCCTCCCCAACCAAGTCCCAAGGGCCAAATACAGTATTGGGGGCCAGTCCCCCAGCTCCCTAAAACAAGCCCCCTCCTCCCCAGCCAAGTCCCAAGGGCCAAATGCATTATTTGGGGGCCAGCCCCCCCACCTCCCCAAAACAAGCTCCCTCCTCCCCAACCAAGTCCCAAGGGCCAAATACAGTATTGGGGGGCCAGCCCCCAGCTCCCTAAAACAAGCCCCCTCCTCCCCAGCCAAGTCCCAAGGGCCAAATGCATTATTTGGGGGCCAGCCCCCCACCTCCCCAAAACAAGCTCCCTCCTCCCCAACCAAGTCCCAAGGGCCAAATACAGTATTGGGGGGCCAGCCCCCAGCTCCCTAAAACAAGCCCCCTCCTCCCCAGCCAAGTCCCAAGGGCCAAATGCATTATTTGGGGGCCAGCCCCCCACCTCCCCAAAACAAGCTCCCTCCTCCCCAACCAAGTCCCAAGGGCCAAATACAGTATTGGGGGGCCAGCCCCCAGCTCCCTAAAACAAGCCCCCTCCTCCCCAGCCAAGTCCCAAGGGCCAAATGCATTATTTGGGGGCCAGCCCCCCACCTCTCCCTGGCCCTTCTCCGCTCCCCGCGGTCCTACCTGCTCTCCTCCGGGCCCCGCCGCGGGGGCCGCCGCCCTCCTCTTCCTGCTAACTGTCTTCCTGGCCATCTCCGGCGCGACCCCGGCCCGGGCCCCCCCGCATGAAGGGGCAGGGGGAGGAAAGGGCCGCCCGCCGCCGACGGAGCATGGGACGGAGCCGGGTCGCCCCCTCCCCTTCCTCTCGGCCGGGCCTTGCCTCTCTCTTTCTCTCCCTCACCGAGCCAGCGAGCGAACGACCGACCGACCGACCGCCCTCCACAGGCCCGCCCGACCGGGCGCCGCTCACGGCATTTTGCGCCCGGAAACCGAGACGGGGAGGAGGGAGGGAAGGAAGGCGCTTTACGGCCCCGCGCGCGCTTTGCGGCGGCGCGTCCGGCCAATGACGCGCCCGCCTGCGCAACAGCCGCGCGGGGTTGCCCGGCAACGGCAGCCTCGCCCCGCGGGAGCTCTTCCGAGGGGCGGGCCCTTCGGGGTGTTGCCGGGCAACTGGAGGGAGGCAGGCGTACCAATACTCTGCGCGTTGGGATCCCAGCCCCAGGGGCTCATTGGCCAAGGCGCGCGCTGAGGGTTGCTTATGGAGCCCCCTGGAGGGCAGCAGAGGAACGCGCGCCTGCTGCGTCCTCCCACAACAACTTCCTTATTTAGTTTAAATTAAATATTGTAATAAGTTTAGTCACCTTTTGTTATTTGTGGTTTTATATTTTGATTTTATTCTGTGAACCGCCCTGAGACCTCTGGGTATAGAGGGGAATAAAAATTCTAATAATAATAATAATAATAATAATAATAATAATATATACAGTAGCTAGGTATAAGCACAGGCTGGGGTGTTGTTTAGGGGGGAGTTGTTGGGGTGGGTTGTTGATGTTAATTTTTTGTATTGTTATAGGAGTTCTAAGGCAGAGGAACCAGAGACCAGATTGCAAACATGCGCTGGATTATGGAGAAAGGTAGAGAGTTCCAGAAAGACATCTACTTCTGCTTCATTGACTATGCAAAAGCCTTTGACTGTGTCGACCACAGCAAACTATGGCAAGTTCTTAAAGAAATGTGGGACAAGAAGCTACAGTTAGAACTGGACATGGAACAACTGATTGGTTCAAAATTGGGAAAGGAGTACGACAAGGCTGTATTTTGTCTCCCTGCTTATTTAATTTATATGCAGAATACATCATGCGAAAGGTTGGGCTGGATGAATCCCAAGCTGGAATTAAGATTGCCGGAAGAAATATCAACAACCTCAGATATGCAGATGACACAACCTTGATGGCAGAAAGTGAGGAGGAATTAAAGAACCTTTTAATGAGGGTGAAAGAGGAGAGCGCAAAATATGGTCTGAAGCTCAACATCAAAAAAACGAAGATCATGGCCACTGGTCCCATCGCCTCCTGGCAAATAGAAGGGGAAGAAATGGAGGCAGTGAGAGATTTTACTTTCTTGGGCTCCATGATCGCTGCAGATGGTGACAGCAGCCACGAAATTAAAAGACGCCTGCTTCTTGGGAGAAGGGCAATGACAGGCCTAGACAGCACCTTGAGAAGTAGAGACGTCATCTTGCCAACAAAGGTCCGTATAGTTAAAGCCATGGTTTTCCCAGTAGTGATGTATGGAAGTGAGAGATGGACCATAAAGAAGGCTGATTGCCAAAGAATGGATGCTTTTGAATTCTGGTGCTGGAGGAGACTCTTGAGAGTCCCATGGACTGCAAGAAGATCAAACACATCCATTCTTAAGGAAATCAGCCCTGAGTGCTCACTGGAAGGACAGATTGTGAAGCTGAGGCTCCAGTACTTTGGCCACCTCATGAGAAGAGAAGACTCCCTGGAGAAGACCCTGATGCTGGGAAAGATGGAGGGCACAAGGAGAAGGGGGCGACAGAGGACGAGATAGTTGGATAGTGTTTTCGAGGTTACCAGCATGAGTTTGACCAAACTGCGGGAAGTAGTGGAGGACAGAGGTGCCTGGCGTGCTCTGGTCCATGGGGTCACGAAGAGTCGGACACGACTAAACAACAACAACAAAGGTCTTATATATATAAAATAAATGTTCATAAATGTACAAGGCAAACACATACATAGGTATATAAACCACGTGTCTGAATTAGTACAGGAGAACAATCCTGAAGCCATTTTGACTCTCCCAAATTGACCTCAAATATTTCTTTGCAAGAAGAAAGGAAATGGGAAAAGCTTTCCAATGGTCTTTGGACTGTAGGGGCTTACACTTCCCTTTTCAAATACAGCCTGGCAATTATCTGTTAAGCTGATCACACTATCAATATGCACAAGTATTTAGACACAAGTATTTAGCATCTCAAAGGAATGGCCAGAAAAGGCAATCATTATCAGGTATCCTGGCAGACAGGAGAGAAGCTACCGGTACTCTATAAGGGCTCTTGGATACCCTTGAGGCATAAAGGAGCAGTTTTTTCTTATAATCTTTATTTTTTATCTTATTTATTTATTTATTTAAAATAATTTATTTATTTATCATCTTTATTTTTTATCTTACGAATGATGTGGAATTTACTCAATTTGTTTGTGTACATTGTGATGCCTTGTTTATTTATTGCTACTTTTGATATGTTTGTTATACATTGTAGCTGCCCTATGCATAGTTTTAACTTTGAAAATGTGGCATATAAATAAAATAATTAAGATCATAATGTCGCAGGCCACCCCAACAGCTGCTGAGCCGTGCATGACATTCCAGGGGTCTTGGCCTTCAACCAGGGTCTGTGCTCCTTTGGAGAACTGAAGACAAGGCAAAAGCTTTAAAAAATATTTATTCACATGTTTAAACCTGAAATTAGATGGAGAGTCAGATCCTGCAGTACGGTCATCACAAGAGGGGCTTGTACCCCACAGCAGAGTGCAGTACTGAGGTCCAAGGTATCTCTCTCCACCTGCCGCCAGCCAAGATCCTTCTGCCCCTTTCCCAAACTATTCCTTTGACATCACACCCCATTACCCTGGCAACCTTTCAAATCCCTTGTCTCCATTCATACCTCAGGGCAGGGGTGGAAGAACAGTTCTCTTGTACTGCTAATGTATGGCCCTGTATTGTTTCTTAATGGCCCTAGTTTGGCCAGGTCATTTTGCATAGGCTAGCCCAGGAATTCCTCTGCAGGTGGTATTTTCACTTCCAATCACAAATAATGAAAATCCTACCATTTATTCATTTATAGGGTTTAGGGGGAACGGGGGGGGGGTGGCACTGTGGGTTCGGCGAATCCCCATGTTGGGGCGAGCTCCCGTTGCTCGGTCCCTGCTCCTGCCAACCTAGCAGTTCGACAGCACATCAAAAGTGCAAGTAGATAAATAGGTACCGCTCCGACGGGAAGGTAAACGGTGTTTCCGTGCGCTGCTCTGGTTCGCCAGAAGCGGCTCAGTCATGCTGGCCACATGACCCGGAAGCTGTACGCTGGCTCCCTCGGCCAGTAAAGCGAGATGAGCACCGCAACCCCAGAGTCGGCCACGACTGGACGTAATGGTCAGGGGTCCCTTTACCTTTACCTAGGGTTTAGAGAGATCCCTTCCCAAACCTATAGCAGTAATAAAAACCCTGCTAGATCAAGGTTATCACATTATTCAGTGACCTACTCCATCAAAGTTTGTTTTCCTGGAACATAAGCCTTCAAAAAAAGCTACCACTCTTTTCTTTGTCTTTCTATTCTGTATTTCAAGGCAACAGCACTAAGCACACTTCAGGCTTTCCCCAAAGGGTGCTGAGAGCAGTTAGGAGACCCCTATTCCCCTCCCAGAGCTACAATATTCTCAGGAGTGGGATTGATCCTTAAACCACCTTGGGAATTGTAGCTCTCTAAGGTAAAGATAAGAACTCTCAGCACTTATAAACTACAGTTCCCAGGATTCTTAGGGAGAAGCCATGACTGTTTAAAGCGGTATGATAGAAAGCACTGCTAATAAGAAGGCCAGTGGAAGTGATGATATTCCAGCTGAACTATTTAAAATTTTAAAAGATGATGCTAAAAGAAGGTGCTACACTCAATATGCCAGCAAGTTTGGAAAACTCAGCAGTGGCCAGAGGATTGGAGAAGATCAGTCTACACCCCAATCCCAAAGAAGCGCAGTGCCAAAGAATGCTCCAACTACCGCACAACTGCGCTCATTTCACACGCTAGCAAGGTTATGCTTAAAATGCTACAAGGCAGGCTTAAGCAGTATGCGGACCGAAAACTCCCAGAAGTGCAAGCTGGATTTCGAAGGGGCAGAGGAACCAGAGACCAAATGTGTGCTGGATTATGGAGAAAGGTAGAGAGTTCCAGAAAGACATCTACTTCTGCTTCATTGACTATGCAAAAGCCTTTGACTGTGTCGACCACAGCAAACTATGGCAAGTTCTTAAAGAAATGGGAGTGCCTGATCACCTCATCTGTCTCCTGAGAAATCTCTATGTGGGACAAGAAGCTACAGTTAGAACTGGATATGGAACAACTGATTGGTTCAAAATTGGTAAAGGAGCACGACAAGGCTGTATATTGTCTCCCTGCTTATTTAACTTATATGCAGAATTCATCATGCGAAAGGCTGGACTGGATGAATCCCAAGCCGGAATTAAGATTGCCGGAAGAAATATCAACAACCTCAGATATGCAGATGACCACATAAAGTGAGGAGGAATCAAAGAACCTTTTAATGAGGGTGAAAGAGGAGAGCGCGAAATAGGGTCTGAAGCTCAACATCAAAAAAACTAAGATCGTGGCCACTGGTCCCATCACCTCCTGGCAAATAGAAGGGGAAGAAATGGAGGCAGTGAGAGATTTTACTTTTTTGGGTTCCAGGATCACTGCAGATGGTGACAGCAGTCACGAAATTAAAAGATGCCTGCATCTTGGGAGAAAAGCAATGACAAACCTAGACAGCATCTTAAAAAACAGAGACATCACCTTGCCAACAAAGGTCCGTATAGTTAAAGCTATGGTTTTCCAGTAGTGATGTATGGAAGTGAGAGCTTGACCATAAAGAAGGCTGATTGCCAAAGAATGGATGCTTTTGAATTCTGGTGCTGGAGGAGACTCTGGAGAGTCCCATGGACTGCAAGAAGATCAAATCTATCCATTCTGAAGGAAATCAGCCCTGAGTGCTCACTGGAAGGACAGATCCTGAAGCTGAGGCTCCAAGACTTTGGCCACCTCACGAGAAGAGAAGACTCCCTGGAAAAGACCCTGATGTTGGGAAAGATGGAGGGCATAAGGAGAAGGGGATGACAGAGGACGAGATGGTTGGAGAGTGTTCTTGAAGCTACGAACATGAATTTGACCAAACTGCGGGAGGCAGTGGAAGACAGGAGAGCCTGGTGTGCTCTTG